GAAACCCTAACAATCAAGTAATAGCTGTACTGTAAGAGGAGGTAAGTATGTTTTAGAAATATCATATATGTGTAAAAGTTGAATACATTTCGTTATACAATGCAATCATTTACCTAACTGTATAGTATATATTTAGCAGGATCATTAATGTCCTGCAATTTTGTTTGGTAACTATTCTGAATATTTTGTTGCTTGAAGAGTACCCAGAATTTGAGGCTACACACATCATCAATACTAGATAGAGTAATCTTCAAAGTTTCTTGCAATTTCTTATAGTCTTTTTTAGGTTGAAGTAGTAGAGGCTGCTTTACCTTGCCACAATTTGTACTTCACTACTAATGACTTCAACATAATCTCACACAGGACGACTTGCTTAACAAATCACTCAAAATAATCATTGAACTCAAACTTTATCACTGAATCACTTATCATCCCACTCATGATAATATTTAATTAAGAATCTCAGAGTATTGTTCACTGACAAACACTTTGTTGTCATGACTTGCAAATAGTGCAGGTCATAGTTGAGATCATGTTCAAACAACAATATACTATTCATAAAACTTTTTCATTTGTGTAGGAAAATATTAAATCTGTAGAAAGCAGAAACAATATGAATTATTATATGAACATTTGTTAAAGTATCCCATTCAACCTTAACTTATTTATATTTAATAAAACATTTCATACATGCTTTTATATTTGCTTACATACCCCATAATTTCCATCAAAACTAATGAAGTTGTTTGTTTATTATAAATATATCTATAATTTGGAAAAAGGACAAATCACCAGCCATTACATCTCTAATTTATATTATAAAAAAGTAATAAGTTAAAAAATAGTAATCACACTATTCTCTTAGATACACTTTTCAGTATAGAATCCCAACATTTTTTGCATCTCTTACAGAGAGAACTTTGCAGTTTCTTTTTTGAACAATGAACCAAATAAAGTCAAACTTAAATAAATAAATATATATATATATATATATATATATATATACAACATGAAGAAAACTATTTGATAGTGTATGCACAAGCTTTTACATTTTATAAATAGCATACCTCATTCAAATTCAATAAATCAATCAAGTATAATTTTGACTTGTGATAGTAGGTAGACTTATTAAAAACACTTCTTTATGTACCTTTCACATTCACAGCTCTCCTAAATTCAATCCCTGTTAGTTCTGTCTAGTCCTCTGTCTTCCTCTTACACAATTCCTAAAAACTGTACTAACCATGACATCTTTCTCAATCAAATGAGTAAAAGCCTTTGATATGTGACCTAAGTATTTTAATTTTCACATCAAGGTTTACTTCAGATTGTACTTTTCAAAGACCAACCTGTTTGTACGTCTCTTTCTTCAGGAAATTTTACACAATGGTCTATAATACCACATTTCATAGCCCTCAAATCACTTAATATCTGCTGCTTTCAGAGACCACAACTCTGACCCATATGATATTATAGGCCACATGAGGGCTTTCTAGAATGTAAGTTCTTGAGATGTTCCTTTGCTTCAAACAATATAAATTTTCCAAAAATTGGCACTAGCTATTCCAATCCCCATCCCGAGTTCAGCATCAATATTTATATTTTCTGTCATTGTTGGTTCCACATACATGAAGGAGTTCCTATCTTTAAACTATGACTTTAATCCACTCCTGCACTCTATCCAGATCCAGTTCCTTTCCTTCAACTATCACCCTATCCCTATCCAGACCAGCAGGGTCATGATGTGTCTCTCCTGATTTTGTTCTTACACTTACAAAGCTAATTGCAAGAAATCTTGCACACACATAATACATAGGTTGTGCTTGAAAAAAAAGTATACAATTTGATGTAATATTTATATCATATTTTATGTTGTGAATTTATTTTCAGAAATATTTTTAAATGCTGTTTTTAAAAACATTAAAAAACATTTTCCTTTTTCTATTTTCATTGTATGCCTAAAATCATGTAAATGTATCTAACAGGTATTTTTTCAATAAAATTATAATTATTGCATCTGTTTTTCTAATAACAACATACTAATGTTTACATAAGAATGTAAAATTATAACTATGAAAAAAAAAGAAATAAAACCAGATTTTTTAAACATTATTGATCAGAAAGTTCTATTTTATACCTCCAATTAGGTCTAATTTATCTTATTTCCCCAATTATTTATTTTTACCTCCTCAAGCAGTTATTAAGCTACAAAAATAGAATAAAATACAGATGAATAACAAAATCATTGACCAGTAGAAACACAATCTGCACTTCTATCTACACTGATACAAGTAATATTTTACAATTATATTTTTGATCAAGCTCAATTTTTCTTTAATAATTATAATTCATTTTCAAGAACTAAGGTGTGTGTTGCCTGAGTAATAAATTTACTAATATACACAAATGAAAAAAGCTTTTCTATAACCTGAATTGTTTGCTAAAAAAAAAAAAAGCTCCTAGCTTTCCATACTCACTAGCCCCAAATATCCTAACCTTATGCTTGTTATATAAGAATATTCCTGGTATTTTAAAACATACATAACAAAAAAAAAAAAGATGATTCCAAATAAAAACACAGCCAAAAGAAACAATATAAAAAATTCCAATTTTGTGGATTGTTCCTGAACTTTGTAAACTTTGCATTACAATCATTTGTTCCTTAATATGAGAACTTTTGCTACTCACTTTTTTGTAAAACATACAACACTGCTTATCAAACAGTTATCTATATATATAAATCACAAAAATCTGTGTTTCTGTCTGTTTGTCCCTTATCTAACTACTCCTAGGTCACTGGACCAATCTCAACCAAACTTTGTGGGATGATAGTCTGGAACATGTTAGTGGGAGTTCACAACTCAATCCACCCACTTTATGGCCTTTTATTATCTTTGACATAAGGTAATGTTAACACCAAATAAAAAAACTTTATCACATTTTCCCCCCCCCCCAGTGGGACATCGGTAAGTTTGCTATAAGAATACAAACACACATTAAATTTTCTATAACACAACACACACATAGTGTGGGGGAGAGCACAAAAACATTTTATATATCTCAGTGAGTGTGCTAGCACTCTTTATAGAGAAATGCAATGAAAAAAATAGCTACTGCTATTACAATAATACATAAACTCAGATGAAGTTGATACTACAACAGCCACCATAATGCTGATATAAAGAGCCATTTCTGGAGTTATACCAATTTCCTAAGTTGACCCATGACCTTACACCTTCATCCCATAAGACACTTTTGAGGCCAATGATCATCAATTAATTAATAATGTGAAACAGTGTGGAAGAACATTAAGAGGTGGGTGTTGAAAGCTGGTAACAGAAAGCACCACTACTGCCACTACCTCTTTTGCTAAGTCATCCTGACCATCACACAATGTATATCATATTTTAAGTATGTACATAGTGAGTTCTTAAAGCTTACACAAAACTTTTGATGAGGTAATAATGAATACTGTAACAAAATGTTATGTCATAAATAAATTGTGTGCAAGTTAGGATTTCTGTATTATTTATCACAGTATCCAACCCCCATATTTTTTTAAGTTCATAACCCGGACAAAAGATGGGTACCTCAACTTGTTTACTTTATAATGAGGTAGAAAGAGAAGAACACTTTCTTTCTGATCATGTTTAGCTATTGGTTCTATCTTGTTTGGAGGCTAAGTTTTATTAATTACTATTCAACTTAATTGTTGTAGTATCACAAAAGCCTCTCAAGACTGATTTCTTCAAAACACAGTCATTACAAGATGGGTTTGTTTGTTTGTTTTAAAGCAAAGCCACATTGGGCCATCTATCCACAGTCTTAAGCCTTGTAAGTCTATAAAATATATATACACCTGAACTTTGGAATGGGCAGATAAATATACTAAAACACCTGTAAGAGCTTTGTTTACAGGTTATACCTGTTGGAACTCCATCAAGGTCACAGTTCAAACATTTTTATATTTCTTCACAAATTACACTAACTAAATTTTGCAAAGTTACCAAATATCAATTCTTAAATATCTTCATGTAAAAAAATTGTTCAAATAGAGTTAACATTGCTATTGCTAAATAGTGAAATTTGATATGCAAGATTAAGCTCCTCAAGCCCAGAAAGCTGCCCGCCAGCCCAGATAGAGTAAATCAGCTGCTGCGCTTTATCCAAATCCAACTTTATCCAAATCCAACTTTATCCTCTTCTTCAACTATGATTGTAATCCATTTCTGCATTCAGGAAGAACCCATACTGCTCACTTACTTGCTTGACCCTGTCCATATGTCCTGCAGTCAATGGCTTACTTGTTCGACCCTGTCTACTACTTCTTGCAGTTGATGACTTACATATTTGGCCCTATCCACTACTTCCTGCTGTTGAGATTCTGATACAGTAATTAGCACTTCATCTGTTCATACTTTATCCCCAATTCTAGACTTGCTTCAAACCTGTCATTTACTTATCTCATTGTACATTCAAAGTAAATATAAAGAAGACAGTGAAAGAAGCACTTCTATGTCATCCTCTTCCCGATACTGAACCATGCTGACAGCTCACTAGTGATTCTTACTGCTTATTATACAAGTTCTTAAGGATGTCAGTGATGTGATTTGAAAATGTTCCATGAGCACTGATAATCAACCAAGTCAAAATCATTAATGTAGTAAAAAAATCAATGAAAATTGTTATTAAATTACAATAGGTTACAAGAGCAGCAAATTATTGGCTTCAATGAAGTATTTTCAAAACATCTTAAACTAATTTATAAAGAAAAATAACATTCAATAATGTATTATTACACATACATTTATATATTTAAAGAACATTTTCATTCCTATTTAAATGAGGAATAAATAATTTCTTTTTAAAAAACAGCTTTCATACCTATATGGAATTAAAAATAGAAAAAATTAAATGTTTCTTAAAAAACTAACAAAAAAGTTGTAGTTCCAAATATATTTTTAGCTTTTAGGTTATCATTAAAACTGATACTAACTTACCTCAATATATGAAAGGAGGCCAGAGAAAGACACATCCATTCCTTTCACAACATACGGTAAAGGTACAAGGATTTTACCTCTGTAAATATTCATTGAAATGAGAATCAACACCAGAACTTACTGATATCAAACTAAATAAATTTGATTTTTATAGTACATTAATGTCATATTATGCCCACTTCCTTATATAACAAAGTTTTAAAAACTAATACATATATATACTGTTTAGTTTTATTACTTTTACCACAAAGCTACACAATGGTCTCTCTGTGCTCTGTCCACTGCAGGTAGATTTGGGCATTGTAAGTTCGTAAACTTACCACTGACCCACCAGGGGACTAATGTACATATAATGTGTGAAAGTAATATATCCTAGCAGAGACCCACAAAACATTTGCATTCAAATTAGTATCTTTATTGCAACAGTAGTTCTTTAAATACATGACTTCTAGAATAATACAAACTGTAATCATAGACACCAAAATGTGTAAGTCCACTTGTCTTAGGCTTAACATTAGTTACGATTTTATACAATACGACCTATATTCAATAAAGATATAAATTAACACTATAACCTGTGATGTTTTTTACGTAAGTTTAGTTAGGACTAAACTTTATTGTACTTAATACTATTGATAAATAAACCTATAATGTATTCTACAAAATGATTAGTAAAGTATATTCACATCTGCCTTTTGTTGTTATTCCTTCATTCATAGAGCAGTTGTAGTGACTTGTTCACTAAACTTTGTAGCTCTCTGCCGCAGGCAGACTGGTTGTTGTCAGGTTCATAATGCACTTCTGTGTCTCTTGTGTAAAAGTCTTACTGCACATGCTTATAATGCATACTAACAAGCAGAATTAATGTATGACGATGATGATAAAATGTACATGTATACATATAATGCAAATATTTCATGTTTATAAATGATAGTTTCCATCTATACTTTCTTTGTATCTTTTGGGTTTATTAAAAATTAGGTATTCTCTGATCAACAAGTGACAAATACTTACAACATACACTCTTATCAACCAGTTTGGTCAATCAATCTACTGTTATCACATTTCACCTTACAAAACTCTAAGAATAACATGGATAAATGATCTGTATAGATACAACATTAAAAAATAAATTATACAGATATATTTTTCAAATATTATAATTATAAACAAAGTCTCAAAAGACTGATTTGAACCCTTAAAATTTTTGAGCTATTTGAGCCGAGATTGTTTTTTTTAGTGTTGTTATTACTTGATGCCATCACATAGGATGCTTTGTTTGTTTGTTGTTAAGTCAAAGCTATCTGTGCTGTGTCTACTACAGGTATCAAAATATGGTTTTTAGCCTTCAAACTTACAGCTGAGCCACTGGGGGCACATATGGAACTACTAATAGTAACAAAATCTAAAATGCATAAAACTGGTTATCCATTAAAACCCTGTTGCAAATATTATAATCACAAGTTAACATGAATATTAAGTGAAATCTTTAACCCTATTTGTGAAAAATTATAAGTTACAGTGAAGTTTTTACCAGTTTTGATGTTCAATTCTTCTATACAAATGTCCTTTTACATAAAATTATTCAAATATGATTTGACTTAGTTGTCAGTAATTTAAATGTGTGAACATATTAGCCTAGTCTTTCATCAACTCTCCTTAATTTGCCACAGAATGGCTTCATTTTGTATTTTATGTAAATATTTATGATCAGATTGCTCTAGCTTAGCTAACCCTATATCACTGTTATTTTGAATAAAACTGGTTAAAACTGAATATAAACCTTTTCTATATCATAGATATGCTTATTATACTTTGTTAGTTTTAAACAGACAAATCTGTGGAATTACTGTAGGCATTCAACTACAAAACTTTACACAGATGAACATTTGAATGGTTTTAGTAGTTTCATGCATTTTAGAACATCGTGTTTATAATCATGGCAATGATCAAGAACTTCCAAAATTTCTTCCATTTTATCTATTTATGTTGTCATAGAAATTATATATAACAAACTTTACACAAGTAAATTATGCAGTTTTTTATGTACACTTACTTGTCTTCGGTTGCAAGCAAACTTCTACAACTAGTTTTAAATCTCTTTCCAAGTGTAAACTTTGTGTTACCAGCTATTTCTATTATAAAAATTAATTCCTATATTTCAAAGTTCATAACTTGGTGTGGACAAGGCTATATAGGACTAGCAATATTAACCTTTTGCCTAGTGTAGCAAATTCTTAACAACATTATTTAGAGCTGTAATGGAGTACCTATAAGTTCTAGTGATGAGATATGAGTTTAAAAGTATTATTGATGCCAATATTGGGTATTAAAGAAACACCATTCATTCAAAATCTACATCTGAACCTCAGTACCAATCAGTCTAAGTTTCAAATTATTTTCAAAATGCAAGCAGTAAATTCATAATGGTATTATACTAGATAAATATGATGTTGCCTCTAAACAGCTGAAAAACACAAAACAACTAAAGGATCTATTTAACAACAGAGAAATGCTTTGTTAAAATTCATAAGAAACAGTAATAACACAATAATAATCTACAGTAAACTAACCTCAAAAAGAAAGAGAATTTAGCATATTTGTTAAATAAATGAAAAGAAATAATTAAGCCCAAGTTAAAAATTAGATTTAAACTTTAAAGTTTAAAATTAAACTTAAATTCCAAAGTTCATTTAAAAGGACTTGAAGAAAGGGAAAAAAAAAAGACTAACACAAAAAAGGTGAAAGGATTAAAACTAAATTTTGAATCAATCACAACTAACAGAGGTTCTTAGTTGTCCATTATTCATTCCTAACTGACACAATTTTTATTTTTGTTTTCCTAGATATTTCCCAGTTGTTCAATACTGAAATGAAATTTAAGAGATTTCCAGGCCTGGGAAAATCAAATTGAATATATACATACTTTTCCCAGTTTCCTGGACCCATGTATTTAACACACAATTAATTAATACATCCTTTAAATTTCTACTCCTGTCTGGTATTAAAATGCAAGTTCTCCCAAAATTGTTTAATTTCAAAGTCTAAGTTGAAGGGAGATCCAGTTCAATTTACACTTTGATCAAACTGTCTTCCAAGACCAAATATTGATGACATTAGTTGTAGTTCTAGAAAATAAATATGAAACAAATCTGCTATGTAATTATTGTTAAGTTATGGTGCAATACTTTGTTAGATGAATTAGCTTAATTTGTTAAATTTTCCTATTACAAGAGTTTTAAATGGTTTAACTAATCAAAGTTATACAAATTTATTGAATTTTTCTGTTTTAATGAGATTATCTATCAACAAATTAATGGGGTTAATCAAAACTTGGATTTGCTATACCTAATTATTAAATAAACTTAATATTCCCAAAATTGTTTAATTTCAAAGTCTAAGTTCAAATGAGGTCCAGTTCAATTTACACTTTGATCAACGTGTGCTATTGGGTTATACTAGTTTCGGAGATGTCAAAGCTTGCTAGATGGTGTACTTATGTTCAACATTTTTCAAACATGATTCATGAATGTTTCAAATTATGTCAAATGTATTTAGATCTATACTTTACAAAACTGTCACTCAAAACAAAAGATATCCAGGAGGGTTTTTTTATGGGGGGGGGAGGTGAGTGATTAACTGGGCACAGGAAGAGGTGAGCAAGAGCCAGTCATCCATGAAATGATGAGACCAAAGACCCAGCAAGTGAATATGTCATGCAAAAGAGCATACCACTCAATAAGACACATACAGAGCTGAAAAAAGACAGAACGGTAGTGCCTAGACCTGGAAGACAGAACCCTCATAGATGAATTGAAGGATAAAAAAGAAAAAAAGACACTGGGGCAAAAAACTCATCAAAGTGAGAGGAAGGACTCCATGGTAAAGCAAGGCATCTCCAGATAAGGATATAGCCAGGAGAGATCAATGATGGGAGTACAAACCCCCATTAAAAGTGAGAGGAAGGACTCCATGGTAAAGCAAGGCATCTCCAGATAAGGATATAGCCAGGAGAGATCAATGATGGGAGTACAAACCCCCATTAAAAGTGAGAGGAAGGACTCCATGGTAAAGCAAGGCATCTCCAGATAAGGATATGGCCAGGAGAGATCAATGATGGGACTACAAACCCCCATTATTTTTGAGACAAAACAAAGACGGGAGTAAAATCCAAGTTGAATGGGCACCACCCCTTCAATACCTGCTATGTGTAAAGTGACTCGAACAGACTTAGCAAGACGACTGGACAAGGTACAAGGAGGAGGGAAGGAGATCTGGAAAGAGAATAGATTGGGGGAGTGAACAGAAAGCAGAAACCCACAGATAGAACCTGTAGAAAACACAGAACAGTCATGAAGTGTAGTCAAAAAGACATATAAGTTAAAGAACTTTGATAAAGTACTCATTACTAACAAACTAACAAAACTTAGAAACGTGTAGTATACAAAGTACATAAAAATAAATTAGCAATACTATGAAATTTGAACAAAAACATGAAACAGTAAGTAGCACCTAAAGTACAAAACTACTAAAGGAACTGAGAAGTGAACACGAGCCTTAAATATCGAATTTATAAATCCATTCAAAGAATCTATAAGACAAAGGACACAAAAATAAAACCTACCCTGAAGAACATGAGAATAAAAAGACATCCAGTTAACAATAACAAAGTTTGACTCAAAACCAGTCTCCAATTAGATGTGACTAATAGTAAAGAAAAAATAACTTACAAACTAAATAACATCAGCAGTGAAAAGAAGTAAAAATTTAAACATAAAATAAAGGAATAAAAAAACTCCAAATGCAAGTTTAAACTAAATGGTGAAAGAAGTATAAAAATCTAACTTACCCAACACTGAGTAGATAAGACATGAATGACCTAAATTATCGAGTACAGAAATTAGATCTATCCACACTAGCTCACATAAACTAATTAAATATGGGTATACCTATGGGGAGTGAGAAATACACAGATCTCATGGTGGAAAGTGCCATAAAAAGAAACTTTCCACACAGTAATTCTAAACCTCTGCACAAAAATCATAACTTGAAAGGGAAAAATCACTGACTGAATGTAAGACTCCCCGCAAACTAAAGCCTGTGCTTCCCCAGCAGACATCGTCGGCCCCCGAGACTTGGGCCTAGTGTTAGAACCATAGTCTACTTATGGCGGGAATTTTATCATCCACCATATTAAATCTCGAATTCATATGAACAAAGTATAATTCAGAAAACAGAAACATTTAAAATACAAACGAGTAGAAACAATGGAAATCAAACACAAGAAGTTGAAACTGATATAATTTTGTAAAATTTTGTAGCCACATGAAGAACGAGTTAAAATACACATCCATACACAAGAATACCAATCAAGAAAGTGAGGAATGTACTGCAAAGTTAGGGGGAGCTACCTGTGCCAGAAAAGAGGGTGCAGTATGATTGGTGGAGGGTAGTCATATGACCAGCACACATTGCTGCAATGGCACAAAAATGAAGGGGTATAACAGACTGGTGTGCTGTGGAAAATTTTAGCAATGCTTAGAGGGTAAATCAAGCCCGAGATAGCTATGGGTGAAAGAAGATAGTACTGTTTTGAAGACTATTTTATCAGTTGTTAGGGTTAACATCATAGCAAAATGGATGAACCAGAATTTTATACCTTGTTACAATCAGTTTTTGTTTTCTGACTAAACATTTCTTTTGGTTTTACTATTTCCTCTATTTCTAAACATTTGTAGTTTGAATTATCTTATAATATTATCGATGAGCTGGATTATTTGAGCATCATATTTTACTATTTCACAAAAAACATTTTTGTGTGTGCATACTTTGTCATCAAAAGCAAGTGGTCCTTGATTAGAATTTGGACTTTTGTATATTTTGGTGTTATGTTCAAATTCACTTCTTGATAAAGCTGTATAGAGTTAGCCATGCAAAAAAACTGGTTCTGGAAGAAGTATTTCTACATGATTAAATGTCTGACCTTGTGATTTATTAACTGTGATGACAAAGGTAAAGAACTGGAGGGTTAAGGGCTAGTTCATAAAGGTATTACATTTCATAAAAATTGATTACAAAACTTTACTAAATTTTTAAAAATCTCTTATCCAAGGTGAAAAACTTTCACTAATAATGTATTTTGACGCCATCTACTGGTATGTAAAGATACTTAAGTTGCGTTTCACACAGACAGACATAGTTGTTTATATATATGATTGAAAGATATATTTCTAATTTATAATTTGCTTACCTTTTTGCCATCTGTTCAATATTGTAGCCTGGACTAGGATCATTAGAAAGCTGAAATTGATAGTTATTAATCTTTACAAAAGTTATCATGGAAACAAAACTAATTTGAGTATTTCTTCTTTAATATAAATTATCTAATAAATTCAAGTGGGATATGAAACTCTTACAAGTATTATATAATGGAATATGGTACAAGTAATTCATCTGTTATAAAAAACCCTTTATTCTTTTATTTTACAACTATTCATTAACAGAAACTTCTATTCTAAAAATACTATTTCTGCTTCTCTCTGTGAACTTTAATAAGAATTTTCCACATACACACAAATATATATATATATTATATTTAAGCATTTCAAAATCTCAGTGATTCAAAAAATCAAAACAAAAAGTTTCATCTCAGATAAATCATTTCTTACCTTTAAAACTCTGGCAAAGCGATCTAGACAATTTCCTACAGCGATGTCAACTGTTTCACCAAAAATTCGATACCTTTTCTGGCTGTAAGCAATTACCTTTAAATCAAACAGAAACACTGTCAAATGACCAATATTATTGTTATTTTTTAAAATGGACTAAAGTGTGCCATAACTATACATAATTCTCCTGGACTTTTTGCCAAAATTAAAATCTTAAAACTTTTTCACTGTTCTCAATACTTTGTTCCTCATCTCCTAGACATAAGTTGCATAAACTGCAAACTTTCAGCAAGATTTGTCATATGATTTATATCCTATTCCAATCATCTTGAATATAGATGGTACTTACTGTCTCTAAATCTAGAATCAACGGCATAATATTGTAAACAAAAGTGACTATTTAATTTAATTTTCAAATCACACTACTGAATTAAAATAAACAGCTTTACTTCTGCAATATCTTTTTGCCAGATCCATTAGTAAGAGTCACTCCAGGGAAGTGAAACTAATTATGGAAATACAACAGCAATACAATAAACAATATATCTGATGCTGCTGACCAAATATATGAAGTGATAGAAATAGCCTGGAGCCTTCTAAGTTCCCTTACTGGTCCCAGGACAATAACATCAAGGAGCAAGAGACTTGATATGTTAGAGCTTCTCTAAGTAGAACTGCTTACCAAAAGGACACCACTGGCAATCCACATTATACTAAACTACAATAGAGTTTACAAACTTCTAATATAAGTTGCCCAGAGAGTGTCAAACGTCTTGCATTACTTTTATCTACCTGAAAATGTGATTTAAGCTTCTAGGAAAGTGTTCAAAGTTCCTTATCCTGACATATAAAGGGTGAAAAAAAAAAGGTAACTATTTCTCATAATGCCATCTAACAGGAATCCAGTGAGTGTGGAAAAAAAAAATACAAAACCCCAATTCTTATCTGTCCAGTAAGAGGACAAAGAGAATCAGCTAAATTATAAACAGAAATAAACTAAACATTAAACAGGAATCAACCAAATAAACCATGAGTGTTATACAGTGAGGAATGAAAACTAAAAGTAATCAATATAGTAAAAAAAGCAAAACGATTCACACTATCAAAGTCTATCTGGTATCCAGTTACTACCACCAGAAGCAGACAAAGACTATCTAAAAATACTTCTATAAACTAGATGCAGAAATATGTTTCATAAAACTGACCAAGGAAGCAATACATAACAAATCTGAAGAGAACAAATTTGGAAAATCCAGTAAATATTATCTTCCAAACATGAGAGATAACAGGTTGAAGGTGTCTGATGGGTGTTCATCCTCAAAAAATGGGGTAAATAACAAAGGAAAAGCAAGACTGTCTTTCTCTACTGAAGAAAACCTTGAGCATAAAAACAAACCTTCAGATAAAAATAGCGTTGGATTGGGTTTCCTGCAAAAAAGAGACGAAGAATGTGAAAGACATTTTTAAAAAATCTTCAACCAAAGACTTAGGGCTTCAGGTTCAAATGGTAATTGAGAAATGAATAAAAAAATTGCATATTTACAGATGAAACTTGGAAATTCCCACTATTCAATCCAAAAAGGCTAATAAGATGCCTTATCCATTGAGTGTTAAACCAAGCACATGAACAGGAAGAAGTTAACTAATTAAGGTGGAAAATGTTTGTTTAAAACCAAGGGCCTAAAATGCAAGGAATAGAAGAACAATAACATCTTGTCCCCATAAATCATGACACAAGTTGAATGAGGCAAGAAGATAGAAATAAAAAATCTACTGTATAAAATAAAAAATGAGGAAACATACCACCTTGAAAACACGAAACAGAAAGAAATCAATTGAGACAAACAAATTTAAAACTACCTGGGACTGATCTCCTTGATAATATTCTTGTTTAGAAAGAGAAAGCTTCTTAGCATAACAAGCAAATCACGTGATGAGGAACTACAGAAAACAGTAAACAAGATCCCAGCCTGATGATGCTGAATTGTAAAAAAGAAAGCCTAAGAATAGTACTAAGCTTCAAAAAACCTATCAGGTGCTCCACAGATAGAAATATAAGAATGAACTTCAAAAAAATTGTAGACTGGTTAACTGGAAGCAAGGTGAGAATAAGTGACAGCAAATAAGATTACTTGAAGTGGATAATCAAAACAAAAAAGGAAGAATCATGAGTTTGAATAAGAAAGGTATGTGAAGAGAAGACTCTGGGTTAAGAAGAAAAAAGCAGGAGAGTAAGCAAAGACATGTTCACTAAAAAACTCACTAATTCAATAATCAATCCACCACTGTAACAAGATTACTCCTCAATCACTGACCAACTATAACTTAACCTGCATTTGATTATGGCCATGCAAAGCTTCGAGGTTTGGGTCGATTAAGGATTCAATTCAATTTGTTAGATATGGCTCTGATTTGATATTTTCAAATCTACATCTCTTCCGATAAACTTTAAAATTTAGCTGCTAATTGATTCTATATACTGGAACCTATTTCCACTTTTGTTACACTTTCGTATCATTCTTCTTCCAGATGTTTAAGTACATTTTATCTTTTGTTTACAGAAATATTTACTCTACATAAACAAAGAAACCATTTCAGCCTATATATCATATAATCTGTACATGCACAGCCTATCTGATTCAATTTGAAAAAAAAAAAATTTTGATTCACAGGGCCCTACATTTGATATTTTTAAAATTATTTCCAAACTTCAAGAATGTTCTTGTCATTATCACTATGAAATAATTTCAAAATAACTTATTTTAGATTATAGTCTAAAATGAGCTCTTTCTAACAACAATAAAACTAGTGGATGAAATTTGACAAGTACTTCCCTAAAAAAATGAAGTTTCAGAAAAATAAAACATTTAATTTAGATTTTTTCTACTATTTCTAATAAAAATTTGTTATTTAATGTAATTATTTGCACTTAGACTCTGAATAGTTCATCTGCAAGTTCATCATTTCATGTTGAGTATAAAAATACTATTTATTATTTTACAGGTTTCATATTTAATTTGCAAAACATCTAGAACTTCTTAAATGAATATCAAAAGTTTTTTCAGGTATATTTTTACGTTTTTAATTTTCCATTTTCTCTACTACATCACTAACTCTAGTTATTATCATTAATGTACAGTGCAATGAAATATTTAAAATTAAGAAATGGAAATATGTACTTACCTTCATAGAATAGTCTGAAAATATCGTCTTTGATTTATATGCATAATTTAATGTCTTTACCTTTGAACTAATAGTTTAGTTTTAATATCTTTTTTCCTTTCCTGCTATTTACCATTAATTATTTATGGTAACACGTGTCAATGGATGCCTGCAGTCAACAAAATGGTACGAACAGCAGAAAAACTTTAGCCTTGGGCAAAATCGATTTGTACACACTTTATGTTCTAAGACTTGTGGAGCGAAGGTTACATTAGATTATATTTAGAAAATTATTAAACCTTTCAAATATAAATTTTAAAATGCAAATAATGTGTAATTAACTAATATATATAAAAGAAAAACCTAAATACAACTTAACTCTCTGATTAACTATAACATATTTAGGTATGAAACAACCGAAGTGCTGTCGTGAACAAGGCAGCCAACAACAGTACAAGCAATTACATCATAACAACTTAACACTAACTTCAAAATAACTGTTCTTAGATTATAGTGTAAAATGAGCTCTTTCTAACAACTATAAACTGAATGGATGAAATTGAAAAAGATGGTTCTGATTGACCACAATCCTAACCTAAATGGAACTGTCCACTTGACACTGTCACCTGAGGGTGATAGGATCATGTAACTGTTAACTCCACAGTGTCATTTTAGGGTGAAAGGGTCTCCATTAGAATGACAAAGTGTAAATTTAACAAAGCATCAAAATAAGGTAAGGATGCTTTTATAATGTTTGACACATAAAACAAAATGTTGACAAATGGACTAGGATTTTCCCATAAGGTCTAAACATCAAAACCACTATGAGAAAGTAGAGATCAGTGAAAATATAAAACAGAATATCAACAAATTATGGTAGGTGAAAGGTACTGTATTTGAATTATGACATTAGGACTAGAAACTAACTTTTTGGGCTACTGATAAATGCCTGTCAGTTACTTTAAAAGTTACACACAAAATTTAAAAAAAAAAATGATACATGAGTAACATAACCTTACAATGTAACAGACATAAACAGAAAATGTGTTTTCAAATCTATTTTTAACATATCTTATTTTAGATCTGTTTTTTATGATAATAACCACATTTCTTAATACAAAATGAAAAAACAGGTATAAAAAAGCTGAAATGCCACTTCACTTATGTTCTCACTTGCTATTTAAAACACAGGGAATCCCACTGAAAAATTATCAACAAGTTATCAGAAGAGACTTATCAACTGACTACTGAATTATAGGTTTTATCATAAATGTTGTGCTTTTTTAATAATGTTAACAACTTGTCTGAATATTTATAATCATAACCAACCAGCAAAAAAAAAAATAGCCAGTTCATGGTCACTGGTTTAACACTAGCAATTCATCATTTAGTGACAACTAATTCTGAGCTCTAAAAACTTTGTATACAAAAAAAAAACAAGGTTTGAAACAAGTAAAATTTTCATGAATATGTCTTTAACAAAATTTTTTGGTTTTATCTTCAGATAATAAAGTTGTGTGTGTTTTTGACATGTATTTTCTATTTATTTTTTTCAATTTTAATTACATTCTAAAGTTGCACATCTCTTTAGTTTAATAATGCTGAAACTACATATTGTGAATTTGAGTAAAAATCAACTAAACTTTTCCCATAAATATGATTTGTGACCAAACATTAAACTTTATACCTACTTTAACATACAATGAAAATAAGACTGTAACTACAACATATGAATAACTAATTCAAATTCTACTCAAGTTTTCACATTATCTTTCCTTCATCTTCATACAAGTGAAGTATATGTAAGTCTAGTTAAATGGAGAAAAAGAGAGAATTTTTATATGAGAAATAAAAACTAAGGAAGCTACCAGGAAACATGGAATATCTAATGACAGTTGAAAACACTTCAAACATGACATAGAATGAAATCTCCATACTTGGGTGTTACCTCCACTAACATACAGCACGGTAGGATTTTCTGCACCTGTTATAGTACGTCCCATTTCAATATCTGTTTTGAGGGTTAAGCTCTGTATAACACTTTACATTATTAAAATGATTACAGCACTAGAACATTATCAAATAAATATAATTATCAAAACTTTTTCTTTTATTTTAAGTAACTAACTTTAATATTCTAGCTGTTATTTGCAGCATAAAATTTCCATTCAGAACAGATCTGTACTATTTATTTCAAAAACTGCAAATGTGTTTTTACACACTCAGAATGTATTTCTTAGTCTGTGCCTTTATCAATTATCTAAAAACCCAATGCTCTGTTTTCTTTACTTTTATATTGCATTTTTCTTTTTTCCCATGTCCTTTGTTCTTGTGCAGTTGTTTCATTGATATTTACAAACTTTTCATTTTGGACTTCTTTTCATACATCTATGTAAAACTATCAGTTACTTATTTATGTATATATTCTATGTTACGGAAAAGATGCTTTATCTATACATACAAGTTTTTTGTTGGTAATGTTTAATTGTTTTTGTATGTACCTGATTCAGTTAAGAATTTATATCTTTTGTATCAACATTTGACTGCAATTCAAAACATAAAAGATACGACCAATACAATGATTAACTCCAATGATAGGCTTGTTCCATAACTGAGCTACAGTCCTGGCAACAACAGCTACAGACACTAAGGGTGCCCCCATACCAGGACCTGCAATCAGTAACAATTACATGAAAATAAGAGTCACGATGTTAGAAAAACATGTAGGTTCAAGAAGTCTTGATAGAAATGAGTAAAAACCCTATAACCATAAATCTTCTATTAACACCGAAAAAGATCTCCCTGTTTCTCAACACTTTAACCAACCCGGTCATTCCATTAACGATGTTACTCTCATCACCATTGAAACATGATTCAATATTAAAGCAGATAGAAAAATAACATATCTTTTTCAATCAGTCTCCAGGTGTCACCTTTATTTTAGTTAAACACATAAGTATAGTTTTAAATATACATATATTTAGCCATTTCTAAAGTAAAACACCTAACACCTTTTCACATACACACTCACCATCGGCTAAACTGTACCAGAAATGAGATGCTTACAACAGTACATAAAAAAATAGATTAAACATTTCCTGGAAAACCGGATGACATTCATGACATCACTAAACTCACTTTATACATATCACTCATTCAATTACACCAGTTTGCCCCTGAAGAAGAAAGGTTCATCTTTCAAAAGTGCTCGAGTTATAGGGTTTTTACTCATTTCTATGAAAATAACAGAATAATGAGTACATTAACTCTCATAAATAATTCACACAAAGACTAATTCTGAACTAGTGTAGTGTAATATTTACTCTTAGCTTTGAAAATGAGTCTTCATAATGACTGTGAATAAAGTACTATATTAAGCCTTTGTACTGAGAATATATTAAGTATATATGAAGCCTTTGTACTGTTAATAAACATGATAAAAATTCATTTCATATATATTACATGTATCCTTACATACTTATTAAGTAACTCACTCTGTGCCAGTGTTTCTAGTACAGTATACAAACCTTTTGTATAACAAACAACATCAATCTCACTTGGTTTCACATTTGCTTCTAATAATGCCTTTTCTAGAACATCCAAAACATGAGCTTGATGGTGTTTTGCAGTGTCTCGTGGAAGAAAACCTAAAATGAAAAAGTTAATCAGTTATATTGACAAAAACATTAGAACTACACAAATAAGAACACACATTTCTTGAATAATAAAGACACTTAGTAATTTTTTATTTAAAGGGAGTGATTAATAATAAGTTCTGTTTAACCTACATATATAATTACCTTTTCCTAATGAAAGAACTTTGTAGTTAAGTAAAAGTAAATTGCTTATATTAGTTAAAAGAAGTTTTTTTACTAACGAAAGAACTTTGTAGTTAAGTAGATGTACATTGCTTATATTAGTTAAAAGAAGTTTTTACTAATGAAACAACTTTGTAGTTATGCAGATGTACATTGCTTATATTAGTTAAAAGAAGTTTTTTACTAACGAAACAACTTTGTAGTTAAGTACGTGTAAATTGCTTATATTAGTTAAAAGAAGTTTTTTTACTGACAAAACAACTTTGTAGTTAAGTACATGTAAATTGCTTATATTAGTTAAAAGAAGTTTTTTACTAACGAAACAACTTTGTAGTTAAGTAGATGTACATTGCTTATATTAGTTAAAAGAAGTTTTTTTACTAACGAAACAACTTTGTAGTTAAGCAGATGTACATTGCTTATATTAGTTAAAAGAAGTTTTTTACCAACGAAACAACTTTGTAGTTAAGTACATGTAAATTGCTTATATTAGGTAAAGAATTTTTTTACTAATGAAACAACTTTGTAGTTAAGTAGATGTACATTGCTTATATTAGTTAAAGATTTAGTACTATACCTTCTCCTGGTGGAGTGATGTAAGTCACTCGAGGGTTAGACAAAACTTTTCCATCTCTTACTATTCCAATACCAAGCTTGTTGGCACTTCCTTCAAACCCAATGACTACTGTCATGGTTACAAAAGCGACTCCAAGTGACTGAAACTATTTATAAAAAAATTCAAGCACCTTCAGTTTATTCTGATTGCACATAAAAAACATATATGAATGTCCAACAGCATAACACTTTGTAATACAATTGTAACTTTCCAATTTAGTGAACTTGCTTCAGTTACTCTCAAAGTTTAAGGTGAGAAGTGTAAATACTTTCTGTACAATTGCTAAAAGCTTGAAGGAAAAGTTGTAAACACTATTTCTGCACAACTACTGTACAAAAGCTAAATACTGAAACATTTCCATAACAGTAAGTTCTCACTTGTTTCTTGTAAAGTGCAGTTCGATAAAAAAACAAATATGCTTGATCTGAAAATGAAGAACAAATTTATAAATTTGCTGGCATTTACTATTTCAACCTGAACGACATCTTGTGTGAAATGTGGGCTAAACAGTGGGTCAAAACCCCAAGGTTCAGGCATGGGCCCTCTCATGCTAATCAGAATTAATGCAAGCAACCAACACCATCTACTGACTACACAACTATTCGTAATTAAATATTTTAATGTGTTCAGCAAACCTGGGAATTTCTGATCCACAGCCCAACCCCCCAACCATTATACACTCTTGACCTAAGAAATTACTGAAATATGTCTGCAATTATGGTTTCTGATATGATACAGTGCAGTAGAATTTCATGCATCTTATGTAATTTTCTTCATAGAGTATTTATAAGGAATTATATATTGTAGCTTGTAAAAACTATAGAAATTGCAAATACATTGTATACAAATTTCCCAAAAAACCTAATTTTTTAAATTTAAATAATGCAGTTAAAGGGAAATAAATTTATTCAAACAAATAACATCAAACATGATTAACTTTCAGCAAAGCACAATTACTTTTAATGTACTTAAGCATTAGGTATTTTGTCACTACTCAATTATTTTCAATTGGAAGCTCCAGTCACATTTTTTATTGAAAGAAGAGGTTAGCTCTATTATTGTGTTAGGAACAGTTTAAAACTCTTCTTTTGAATAATAAAATTAAACTTTAAAACTATGTTTTAATCAAAAGTATAATGGAATGATTTACTGTCACCAATAGCAGTGGCCAGCACAGAAACTTAAGTGGGGAATCAATGATGCTCTAGATTCTAGGATGTGAAGTTTTTGATCAGCTCAATTAAAGCTTATAAAAGGCTTTTAAGTGCTATGAGTTAATTAGTCAGTTTGAAAGTGTTGTATTTTGAAGATTTTATAATAATTTGTTGTGTTTGTTTTAAATTTCTGGTTCTTTCCCAAACTTCTTGTTTCTTGGTCATAATGCTGCATTTCCTGCAAACCGAATGTAATATTTATGTAAAGTAGTGAACATTCTTTAATTACGGGTATAATAAATATTTTATTCTTGACTTGTATGGGTATTTGGCCATTATAGTTAGACATTATGCTATTGCTATACATTCACCAAGTTACTTTTATATGCAAGTTCTAGTTCTGATGTGAAATTTAATTGGCTTACTTCAAATGAAAAGTTTCTATTATTTATAATTCGAGATCTAAATTGTACGTTCCTTTCCCTTTTCCATAACATTAAATCAAATTTCCACTCACACTTCCATTCACTGAGTGATGACTAAGTTACATTTGACTGTTATCGATAGTCACATTCGGTGTACACAATTTTTGTCATAAATTTCAAATCTCCGACCTACCAAGATAATAACAATTGACACTTTTCATTACTAAAACTCATATATATACCTAAAGAAAAATACATATAAATATATCAATAGTAAATGTTAACTAGTGAAATATCCCAACTAGCAGCTGTTTCTTAGTATTAAAACTTAGAATCAACCTTTTAAATTCTTCAGATTAAACCACGCTGGTTCACAGTAATTCCCCTACTATTTCAAACATCAGTGTATCTTAGCGCCATCTGAGTTAAATTATACAATGTTAATCTGGTAACTTTTTGTTCTTATTTTGTTCAGTGATGTCTCTGTTGTCAACTTGGCAGAAAGATACAACCAATATATAACTCATGTGAAACTTTTGTCCATATCTAGAAGTCCATATCCTTTATTTACCTTTTTTTCATTGATTTACAAACTCTGACAGGTATTACTTAAGCAATTGAATCAACATTTTCTTAAATCTTTTTGTAGACTTTACAATTTGTTATAATTCTACGAATTGAGTTATTATTTCGGGAGTTATTATATGGTGGTTCAGCAGTAAACTTGAAGGTTTATAACACTAAATTTCGGGATTTGATCCCTGTAGTGAGCACAGCGCAAATTACTCAAAAATACAAATAAGTTCAATTTTTGGCAATTTTTGATTGATTTAGTTTTAGAACTAATTATATTTATAATAACTGATCTTACATTGTATGTAATTAAATTATTAAATACATTTAATTAAACTCCGGCTCAAGCTTTAGATAATTTCGATTACTTTCACTGTTTGTTCTTTTATTGTTTTGTTACAACAGCGGAAGTCACGCGACGCTGGGAGCATGAGCGCTGGAGTTTCTAGAAGGATCATGAAGGCCTGAGTGCATTCGAGACGCCCTCTTTTTAATATATAAGCCTGGCGAGTAAAACCACCGCGATGGGAAGATAGATTGAAGAGATATGCAGACAGATTGAAGAAATAGATAATTCAGTCAAGCGAACAGTAGGCACCATAAGTA